AGGCCGTTGTAATACAAATATATCACAAATAATATTTTACTTATAAATTTCTTTACAAATAGTTATTAATTTGATGTGTAAAGTGATTCAGAATGTAAAATATAAAGTAATTTGGTTATATATTTTTCCAAAAATTAAAAGAAATCATAAAATTGCTTTATGATATTTAGAAAGTAAATTCGATTAAGAAAATATATACAATTAATTTTATGTATACGAAGAATTTGTAATAATCGTAATTGTTCATAAAATTTACAATGATATAATGAAAAATTGTATAAATAATACATGAGGTACGATATCGGAAATAATCACAGCAAATAAGTAAAACAAAAGGGATACAATTTTGCAATGTGCAAAATTGCTTTTGTACACAGCGTGCAGGAAAATGTTTTTGAGATGTTCTTTATCCAAGTATAGCAATCTTAAAAATAATTTATAATTAGATGACCAGAATTCAGCGAGAAAATATGTTTTAATCTTCAGTCTTTCATGTTTCAAAATAATATAGTTTATTATGATTTACTACCAATGAAAAAAACCACAGATCTTATTCAGATCACAAAGGTAATTAATGATAAATTATCGCGATCAATTAATTATAAAATAAATACGAAATTTAGATATATAATAATGTTGTGCCTAATAATTTAATGATGGAATCTTTGCGCAAATGAAATTATTCCTGCCGCTTTCCATTTTTCTAATGTAATTTTACTCATTCGTACTCTTGTCTTTGAAAGTCTTTAAAAATCATCACCAAGCTAAACATGTATAGAATCGACAAAGAACAGGTGACTTTACATTTTTATTATACAAAATGAATAAAAAGAACAGATCATTTATTAGCATAATAGACACGTATGGATCTGTGTGTGCTTCTCATTCATTTTGATTGATACTGTCCAAAGTACTGTCCACTATTTGGATGTGTAATATAAAATTATATTGTAGATATTGCATCCTCCAATATATATGTGTGTGTGTGTGTGTGTGTGTGGTGCGTGTGTATGTGTGTGTGTGTGTGGGTGTGTGGGTGTGAGTGTGTGTGTATATCTTGGCCGGTATTCATAGTCCGTTCTTATTTCAAGACTGTCTTAATTAATGTCTTAAGATGCTTAATACGGTCATTTCATTGGCTGGATGGAGTCTTAAGATTGCCTTTGACCAGACTTAAGACGATCTTAAATACAAGATCTGACTATGAACACCAGCCTTAATGACTTTTAGAGATCGATCCGGTGTTAACGCGGATCTTTGGTAACCTATATCGTGTAACTATTTTTCTCCTCGGTTTAGCACAAGCAGTGCACAATAAACAAAATTTCGAAATTTATATTCGAACAATCCTTGTACAAGCAAATATCACGAGTTTTGTTTCCAACATCAAGAGACACGGTCGTGTCTCGCGTCAATATCTCGCGCACCAAAATGACGAGACAGATCGCGCGTATCTTTACACAACTCGTTTAGAGTTGAATATAAATTAACTTAAAATTATTATATTTCAATGATTCTATATTATTATACTAAACCGTTTCTAATAGACTTAAGCGATAGCTCGAGTTCTTATTATATCGCAGATAACTTCATTTTTACTCTATATGTACCTATGAACAGTAATATTACATTAAAGTCAGAATCATCAAATTTATATTTTTCATTATGCAAGATAAACTGTATAATTTTGTATGAAATATCTTCGAAAGCAGTGTCTATCGAAAAACATTGTAGAGACCATAGATATTTGGTTTCGAAGAACATTTTACGATCAGTATAACTTTCTAGAAATTCTGTGAAAGAAAATTATTATTATTTTTAAAATATTTAATCATATAATTTTGTATAAAATTCTCTTAATATTCTGTGTTTAAGGGGCCTATTTTGTAAACGTTAATGATATCTTTATGCGCTTTGTGCAGCTTTTCTATGGTATATTATAGCTGCGCAAAGCACAATGATGTCGTTAACCTTTACAGAATAGGCCCCTAAAAGTGTTATGATAAAATAATTTAAAAAAACTATTTTGTAATAATTTCTATTATTTTTAAATATTTTTTAACGTTTCTTAACATTATATAGATACTAATTTTCCTAACATTTTTTAAAGATCAAGCAACATATATGACTTTTATTAACTGCATATTTTAAAACATTATTTTTATAACGTTATTTATAATAACGTTATATGTGTACGTATATAATTTTATTTTTAAATTACATTATAAACATATTGTAAAAAACATTATATTTATAATGTTATTTATAATAACATTGTACATATAATGTTATTTTATAATATTTTATAATATTATTGTAATAATTGTTTTATGCATCTAATATTTTTAAAAATATTTTATTTTGTAATTAATGTATATTAATATTTGTACAGAATATTAAGAAGAATTAATTAATATCAAGAGATTATATAATTTTATTTAAAATAATATGTGAAGTTGTGTTACATACTATCTAGAACAGAAATATACTAATCATAAGATGTCCTCTTCGCAAAAAAGTATCGTTGATGTAAAACATGTTTTTTTGTTTAATAATCATCATTAATTTATAAATATTTTAAGCGGACAAATTATATGGATTATCTTATATGACTAAAAAATATTTGTCCGTTTAAACTATTTTCAAATTTAGATTTACTGTGAGATACTTTTAAAATGTCAGATGCAGTGATGCATACAGCGAATGTTACTCCTGATTTATTCTAAATATCCATGAGTCTCTTTGTATGTGTCAACAAAGCCCGCGTTAGTTCATTGTATAATAAGTATACGAAATGTCGTCGCAGGTATGTTCTTGAATATTTCCTCAGAGAATTATCTTCGATAAATCGAGAGATGATTGTCATTGGTACTTCTTTTGACGAAACTCGTCCTCAGCAAGGAATCTTATTTCACATCATCGGATTGAGGCGATTGGATAGGAACGGAGATTTTAGAAAGACTTTCTCTTGGTCACAACTTCGACCTTTCGATATTTCCTAATAAGCGGCTGCTTGATGGTGTATCAACTGATTGAAATGATGACCAAGATGATGCGGCGGCGGTGGACCAGGTAAGGGCCCTGGTTGAGGCCCGACTGTCGGTGGCTGACAAACGTACCACTCCGCCACCTCCGTCGTTCCGCGGGCCGAAGGATCATGGCTTCGACTCGTAGGTGGAAGATTGGTTGGTGTCCTTGTCGGGACAACCGTAGGTGGCTGGGGCGATTCCGTGTTACCAGTCACCGACAGGCTACCCCCGCTGCTGCTGCTCTCTTCTCCCTCGCTCTCGTATCCTCCTCCTACTTTACCCTCGGTTAACGTCATTCCATGTACCTGGAAAGAGAACGTCGAAAAGGATACCGCATTAGATAGCGACCGTAATGACGGATTTTGTCATTACCATTGTAAAAAAAGTGTTTGTATGTGTGGCTTAGGTATTACATGTTATAGTATAAAACCTCTTCGAAACATGGGATGTAGTCAAATTTGTGCATTGTGTTGGATCTACACTTCTTAATCCGGATCAATCGATGAACTTTTCTCTGGCGTGTGTTAATAATAACTTGCATACAGAATCTTTTCGATTGTGTAATTGTCATTGCATTTATGTGTCGGTCAAAGTAACTTATGATCATTTTCTCAGAAGATGACTTTCGTGTATTTCGTATAGTATACAGAACATATTTTTGATTTATACGGTACGTTTCGGGGGACTTATAACGTGGAGAGACTTGAAGTCGATCGCCGGGAGATATCGAAACGGAGATCACGAGGATCAGCGGAAAGAGTAGCACCTTGGCCTGACCCAAGGAAGTCCAGAACGCGAAAGCAACGGAGATCAAGGATCCGTTTCCATCTCTCTGGTCCTTCCTTCATAATTCAGTGAGCAAATCTCGACGACTGCCTTCCGCGAATCACGTCTGCGAAAACCGTGGAGTAGCGAAAGCATTCCCGGTGAAGCTGACCTAACACGCGTGTATCTCGGAAGTTGGGTTTTGCACGGGTTCCCTACCTCTCCTTCTGCCTTTCCGTTCTGAGATAATTTCTTATTAAGATTCCGCGATCGTTCGTGCGAAAAAAATCACTTTAGCTTTAAATTAGGAACGGCGCACTGTTTTGTTTCACTATTTACGCAGTCTTCACCATCCGAATACAAACGAAACAGAAGTCTAATGATTAGTCGATTTGACATAGATGCGTCGATGAATGATCGCTGTCGAATACTAATTTATATTTTTGTCATCTTTGATCTCGTCATAATTTTTTTTATATTAATTGAACAATTGTAAATATTTCTATTAGATTTTTATTGTTTTTTGCTCCCTTTCTCTTCCTTCTTAATCCTACATCGAATACACAGTATATACGTATATATTATGTGCTTTTGATTTTTCTTCAATTTGATATAGAACTGGCCGAAAGACAATAAAAATCCTATAGAAATATTCATAATTGCACAACTAACATAAAATAACTACGACGAAGTCGATGATAAAAAATATCAATCAGTATTCGACATTGATCATTCATCGACGCATCGACATCAAATCGACTTCGATTCGACATTTCTAGCTGGGTCACAATTGATCACCGACCGGGACCACGCTGACTTTTTATTATTTAATTCAGTGTTAATCCATCTTTGTGTGTAGGACTTTTTTGTCGAATATAGAAGATGTTCCGTGTTAATCGTAATATTACGTTATCTATCTTTATCTATCAAAATAATTTAACATGAATGTAAACTTTCATTAGCAACGTGTTGACAATCTCTCTCTTTATCTTAAAGTTGTTTTATAATGTGTGTCCAAAGTCGAATTATTGAATGTGTGGCACTTACGAAATACAAGCAGCCCAAATGTGTAAACGATATAGGATCGAATTCTTAGTAGTGCCTTCTCATCTGCCTGCCAAGCTATTTTCATGATTAACTCAACCGGAAGACGTACCTTCATGTGTTTGCGTAGCGAACTAGGATGGGTGTAGGACTTGTCACATCCCGTGACTCGACAATTGTAAGGCTTGTCCGAAGTATGAACATGGCTGTGCTTCTTTCGATCGCTGCTGTTCGCAAACCTCCTATCGCAGCCGTTATACTCGCATCTAAAAGGTTTCTCGCCTGAAAAAAGAAATTGTAACAATACAAGGTTAATGATATTCCAATTAAAAACGTATCGTATAATATTTCGTGAAGGAATTATTATATAACATAAAATGCAGAAGAGGGAATTAATTAATTGATTAATTAAAATTTAATTTTCAAGAATTCTCACAAATGGCGTAAAATAATATCAAGATTAATCGAAGGTAATCACGAGTAATCAGCCGTTCATCATGTTACATTAGGAAGACGAAATTCACAATTATGTAGGTGTTAGTAATTAAAGAACGATTACGCAAACGCATTACAGAGAGTCTCATCTTGATACTCCGTATATCTTGATGAGTGGCGGCGGAACTCTTCTCTCGATGGCTTCTCTTAGCTTAGGCTGTGAGAGGGGAAGAGAGAGATATCGAAAGATAAGGTCCCCTGCACACGAATGGCCGCCGTTGTCGGGGCGCACCGAGATCGCGTGGCGTGACTCTTATTTATTTCCAACGGAAGTTGACTGGAATATATTTTACCGTGTCGGTCCACACCCCCGTATTCTACTCCCTTTTCCGGAGCTTCCTTCTGGCGCTGCGCTCTCGAGGAGACGCGCGAACAGGAAGCGCGAACTTGGCGGATTTTTTATGGCGAAAATGGCGTCTCTCACCCACGTCCTCGCCCTTGTACGAATTGCGGGGACGAGTCGCGGCTAGAATTGGGAATATGTGTTACCGAAACGCATAAAAAACCGAAATGAGTGCTGAGGGGAACGATTCCGCGAGTGGGGTCGAGTCTGCGTATCTTTTCTCTCTTTCTCTTCTCTTTCTTTAAAAAATTCTAATGTAAAAGTATTAAAAATGCTCAAAATATTTGAAAAATATTAAAATATAAAATATAAAAACATATTAAAATCTTTCTGCATTTATTTTACATATGAATAAATACGATAAGATTACAACGTATAATCGAGGAAAAGACACGTACATCAGATATCGTCACGATACACATTAGGTATATTTAACAATAAGTTGTTTGGACGCGTTGTTGACCCGAGCATCTGTGGCATCATACGCAAGCAGGCGTCTTAAATATTTATGAAGTTATGCAGATAACGGTCCCATGCACCAGCGTCACCTCTTATCTCGTTGCAACTCCGTTTTTTTATTCGCCGGAAAGATTTCAATTGTCGGACTTTACGACATTTTCGTTATCTCGATCGCAGAGGCGTATCCGCCATCGAGATTGCGTTTTACGGTACGCAAGTATTATGATATTTTTTTTCCGCAACGATGTGAATATTTATGAATTAGCTTATACATATTCGTAAGAAGAGATGAGCCGGGATTCGTAGTATTTTGTCAAATTATTTGAACGTTCGGCTCTTGTATTATGATTCGCGCGAGCAAGCGTGCGCGTGTAGACGTATTCACGTCTCAATCTGTCTCCCTCCGCTCCGCGAAAGAGTTGACTCGATTTCGATTTTTTGTGGCTTGTCTCCACCCATCGATTCACACCTTCGTCTCGAAGAACCCTCTCGTGTCGATCGAAAGGGGGCACGTTCGCTCGCACGGCCAATATGCGCCGTCGTCTGGTTAGCCGGCAGCTCGCATAAAAGGAGCTCGTCTGGCAATAGGGAGGGGGCCAGAGTGCCGTGGCACTCTTATCCAAAACAGAACGATTAATAACTTTTCAAATCTGTCCCCGGCAGGGTCGTGAGTCGGGGTACCGCGCTTCGGTAGCGCGCGCGTTGGCAAATAAATAGCAGATAAATAAAAGCGCGCGTCTCTCCTACGTCGTGCATTCTGTCGTGCGCGCAGGGTTGCGTGTGCAGATGGCAACAATATGCTGTGAAATATTGCCGGTGGTCGATGTGTGCCACCGCCGTGATACGCATACGGACGCGCGTATTCATACGTGTATATGCGTGCGCCGGTGTCAGCGCGAGACCATGATCACTAGTGGTTGAATATAGGGTGTCTCAAAAACGCAGCCTTCAGATCTTTCGCTTATTTTAGCATCGCTATTTCTTTTTGTTAGAACGCCGAAGGATCGATAGTTTCTGTATCATAAGTAATTAAGAATGAAGGCTTTTCGTGAAGTACACCTTTTTCAAGAATGTACTTGAATGCATTTAGATGTACTTCGTGATGATTCGTGCGCGATTAGATAGACGGAAGGCATATTTTTATTGAAATTTGAGCAAGTTTTGCTTATATGGGATTTTAATTACAAATTTAAATAATTTTTATCAAGATACACAACTCAATTTCTTGAAATACTTTCTAAATAAGAACCGGCACCAGAATGATAAAGAAAGTGTCATTAAAATTATGTTTCATAATTCGGGGACAGCCTATATGTATACGATACGCAAGTTTCCATGCACACATTTCGTTCACTGTACCTATGTACATACACTTAGGAGATAATTGTCTGTGTATGCGTGTCGTGTGTCACGCGTATGTATATAGGTACTCGCATCCGCATATGCAATCACAATACACATTCGCGTGTTTGAGGTATACACGCATACATACGCGCGAGAAATGTAGTCACAGAAGGGTCTGATTATGTCGGTCGTCGCGTTCGCATCTTTGGGCACACATACTTCTCTGTGTGTGTATGTGTGTTTGAAATTCATGGTGCACCAGGTTACACCGTAGTATAGCACAGCCAAAAGGGGAACACGAGGCAGTTCCCGAAGGGCAGTATAGGCATCGTGTTATGACTTTCAGAATCGAGAGGCACAATGGCCCAGATCCGCGCCGGATAAAATAGTTATTATAATCGTTTTGGCTATGGTTGGAATCGAAGAGCGATACACGCGAGCTTGTACGTGTGCATGCATGTGTGTATGGGTGCATCCGTACGTGCATGCGTGCATGCGTGTGTGTATATACATATACATATATAATATGCGGGTTCGATGGCTAGATTTAGATCATGAGTCCGTACTTCATCTATTGGGGGATAGAGCATCTAAACAGAAGATGCGGATCTCTTATTTACTGAATCATAAAAATGCTGATTTTAATCTATACAATTTCTAAAGTCAAATAATTGTCTTCACACATCTGCCGTGTATAATTTTAAGCGATTATGCAAAATAAGTTCTTCGTATGAAAACTGCGCAAATTTAAATTTTGAATAATTAAAGATGCTGATACTATACATATATTGTTAATTATCTGTTTTTTTTAAATAATTTTTTGCTCGTCTTTTTTCTGTTTTTATAGAAATTATTTCTATTCTTGATAGTAAAATTGTTATTCTTAAAATATTTCTAAAGTTTGGCAGTTTCTAAGTGCTATTTCTAAATTTCTAAATTTTTTAAATCCCGTTTCGTAAAGTATCCGTAAATCGTCGCACTTCCGCTAAGAATTTAAAGTCAGAATAATAAAATTTTCGTCTTTCAATGGTCAAGCTCGCGGGATCGGAAGTGTTCCACCAGCTCGAAAAGGTGCCTGGAAAACCGGTATAGAATCCCATCTTTTCTTCGTTGCACCTTCGAGGCAGACTCATTGATTCCATTTTTTTGAAAAATCGGGTGATATATGGGCGTACGCCATTGTCCATGGGCCCGAACTTGCAACCTCACCATCTTCCTTCCATCTTTCTCTCGTCATCTCCCTTCTGTGTATGGATCTCGCGCGGATAATGGATGATTTTTCGCGGCCATTGTATTCGTGGAGGACACCAGTCCTGGGACCACCGGACATTGTTGCAAACCTTACCGGATCGAGAAAACTACCCTCCCCACTTTTACGGCGACCTTTCAACCTCCCTCTTCTGCCACGCATTCCCGTTTCCATTTTTGAAGGCCCCTCAAGTGGATAATTTTCTTGTTATACGTTTGGCATTAGGAAATCCTGGAGGTTCTCCTGTCAAATGTATATCGATGTCATCGCGATCGACCAAGGAGATACGAAAGTCACGGCGAAATCACTGTGACTTGATCTTACCGCGGTTTAGGATCACTAGATATTGGATCTACTCCTGAACTCGAGGCACTTCGTGTTACACAAATAATCTGCGATCGATAGAATGCCGATTTTTTGCTTTCTCTGCGACGCGCAGTCTGCCGTTCATTCTTTACCAAGCAATTCGAGAGAGTGAAACTCGGACATTGGTGATTTTTTTTCACGTTCAAAAAAAAATTGAAAACGAGAAAGTACGAATGATAAACGTTGTGATTTAATGTGTGAGCGGGGGATGGATATACGTACAATACATTCGGGAGGAATTAAAATCTCGAAACGCACTACGGGAGGGTGATTTCATCGGTGGCGCTCGTCGGAAAATGAAATCAGTCGCCATGCGCGTTAATCATGGTCCACCAAATGCTACGTTTGTTCGGATTGGGCGAGGTTTAAAAAAATATTGTCCTATTTGCACATCCGAGATTGCAGAACTGAGTCGAGATCCAGCATCAATCGCCTCTGTCGTTTCGAGTCACTCCAGGAGTTCCAATGGCGGCATGTTTGCATAGCACCTGCTATGTTTGGTATCCACAGATTTGTTCGTGATTCTACGATCACGACGGGACGAATCCTGAATCTATATTAGCGAGAAAAAAGCGTTTCCTCTTTCCGCACGAGCGCTTGGCTGCGAACGCAAGAAGGGGGAAACAGAGAGCGAAGAAGACGGACGTTCGGGACTTTCCTGCGAAAACGCAACTGGACTTTTTTTTGCCAAAGAAATCGTCGCGCGCGCGGAAACGAGGAAGAGCAAAGAACGAGGGGAGGGGGGTCGGTCTAAGGGAGAAGAGCGCAGTGGCAGGAAAAAAAGAACCGCAGATCCGTGGGTAAACGTAACTACCGGTTGATGCGCCGATCATTCCGCCATGTTGGCTTTGAAAAGGAGAGCGCCATCGGCAGATGTTTCTTTGCTGAAGTAATTCGAGTGTTTGCTCGTTCCCTCTCTTCTTCTCTGTCGTCTCTCTCTTTCTCTCGTTCGCGCGCTTGCTATCTTTGTCATCCGTGGCCCCACGGGAGCCTCCATGATATATCCACCTCCCGACGTCTATTGGA